CTCTGGCCACTGAGGAGGCAGAGGAGCAGCATGAGCTGTGCCACAGGGCGTGACAGCCGGAGAACACCTGGCTGGTGTGAAGTGAACCCGCAGGCCCTTGTGTGGAGTCACTCCATCTCTCCAGGAAAGCCCTGCCCTGAGGTCTCATCAGCCTTGTCCTTTGTCATTCCCAAATTTCCAGATAAAACAGGAGGGGAAAGTGCCACTTGGCTGCTAATTATTGTGTCATTTTATCGCATTCATTCTCGTAAGGTTTGATATGTAAACGAGTGGCTGGGTGCTGCCGCTGCCGCCCGGAGAGGCTCCTGCCCGCGGTGGCTGTCAGGTGCCGTGATGGAGTTTTCCTCTCCGTGAAAGAAGGCGGCATTTACAGTGGGTGCAGCAGGGAAGTGTGCCCGGGAGCAGCTGACAAGTGCTAATTTATGTGTCAAAGCCCATCTTGTCCCCTTCATACATATGCAATCGTGTCTGAACAACAAATCGGGCGCGCAGGAGCGCGCTCGTGACCGATGGCGATGCCGCGCCATGGCAGAGCCTGAGATTTCCCGTCTGGGGAGCTCCTGCTGCCTGCATCCCTGCTCGCCACCAAAGACCCCCCCGCTCCTGGCTGCTGGAGTCCTTGGAACAGCCCGGAGTGCTCCGGCCTTGGGGGCTGTTTGCCATCACCACCCCCGGCTCCCTCCCCGCGCCTCCTCGTCAAACTCCCCGAGTGGTCGGGCTGCGACGCCTTCCCGTCCCCCAGCCCTGCTGGAAGGTTATGGAAATCTGCTCATCGTCCTGCCTGGCACGGGAACACTCAGAGCATGATAATCGGGGAGACAGTGAGGTGGGACACGGCTGTCCAGGATGTGACCACGCAGAGCTCCTGTCTGGGATAATGGAAGGGAGAGATGTCGGAGTTACTGGAGTGAGAACCATCTGTGTTACAGCCAAACCTGGACACAAAGGCAATGACACAGGGTTCATTATGTGCCAGGAACCCCTCCCCCCGAGGCATTATTATGGAGTAACCTTTGATCAAGACCAGAGAGAGGCTTAAACAGGGTCTGGGGATCTCAACAGTTGCAAACTTTTGATCCACATCTCCGTCTTGCCAGTGGGGTCTGCATCTGGAGGAGGACGCCTCTCCTCCCACGCAGCAGATGGCTGTGTGTCCTCCTGCCCTTTTCCTCTCCTTCCCTCTCTGGCTGCCTCCATGCTGGCACGGTGTGCCAGAGCCAGGCCTCACTCTGAGGGCACCCACTGGCTCCTGGGTTACATCCTCCTTGCAGACAGTGCAGATCCCTCGGCTTCTGCACTGCCTGAGCCCTGTCCCTCCTGACAGGGAGGGGATGGGGGGGAAAGGGGGGTCGATGGCCTAAGGATTACGGCCTGGGCAAGGCTTTGGGAGGACAAGCAAGAGCCAATGCCTGAGAAAAGGCAAGAGATGTGGGAAAAGGTGCCGATGAGCTGGCTCCAGCCCTGAATTCTCTCAACAACTCAGTCCCATTAAGAGGAGGTAACATCAGGCAAGGGCTCATCACCAGCCAGTAGCACTAGCCAGTTTTAAGGATAGGGGAGCTAATAATGTTTTAGCACCTCTTTCCCCTCTCTTCCCATACATTCACAACTGGTTAAAGAACAGTGTCCAAGTGAGGAGATGCTTTTTTTCTCTGTCCTTTTTTTTTTTTTTTTTTTTTTTTCCACATACCTAGCTTCCAAATGGCTGGCATGGGAGGGTTGTCCTGCCTTTGAAGGGAAGTTGCTTTTATTGCAAGGTTTTATTGACTTCTGTAAAACTTCTCACCTCTTGGTTGCGGAGAAATGCCCAGAAAAGAAGGGAGGGGGCAGATCTCAGGCCGGGGATTGCTCCTTTCCAAGCAGCCACCACAAGTACGGCAGAGTGAGCAGCCAGCCCTGGCTCCGTGAGGAATGATGCTGCAGGGCTGGAGGAATCCCCCTTGAATGTTTTATCCAGGTGTGCAAATGCCACGTGCAAGGAAAAATACGTGCTCTGTAATGCATGGATTTGCTGGCATAACAATTCCGGTGTGTAATTTTTGGTTTGTGCGTTCTTTGGGGCCAAGATCTGGCCCCTTGTGTCAGATTATTAAATGGCAAATTAAGTCAGTTAATAGAATTAATTGAGTCGATGTAATCCTTTTAATCAGATGGATTTGATCCCTTCTCAGATGAATTAGAATCCATTAACAGATAAGTCAATTATTGGACTAAATTAAATCTAATAATAATGCCTGCTGCTCACAGCAACACTAATTAATCTAAATACACTTACCTATCTCCCAAGGTTGTTTTTTTTTTAAAGGCTTAATTGATGTTCCTAAAGTGCTCTGAGATCTTTAGATAACAGACGATCTATGTGAGCAAAATATTATCTCTTAACAGACTATAAACTAATTAAAAGACTGATCTATTTACAGATTGCATTTTTACTTTAATCTCTTCAACCTATTCAGAAGGAGTTTGCACTGGCCCAGGAAAACAATATTCCTGTTATAAGCTTATTATTACTTTACAGGTTCCTAAGTGGTCCTTTCATTCAGAAAATGAAAGGGGGAAGGGGGAAAAACAACCATTAAAGTGCTGACAAAAAAAAGAAAAGGACCTGGAACCTTTATATTCTACCTCTGATAAATGGTACAGATAGGGAAGAGAGGGATCAGTGACCTGAAACCTTAGATCCTTTCATTTATTTTCATTTCACAAAAGGCAGAAGACATTCTATCCTGTTTGTTCACGATCTGTGTATCCGGCGCAGTTGGGGAGACAGAGCTCTCTTGGCTGGGTGAAGGCATTTTTTGCCTCATTTGTACTTCACAGCCATGGGATTTTTGGTTTAATTTGTCCCCAGCTACTGCTGTCCTGCAGGGCAATGAGCAGTGATAGCTATCAGTGGAGAGGGGAGAGGTGTGAGAGCCCTTGGCTGCCCTCTCGGTGGAGGTAATGTTAATTTACCTGGATGTCCTGAAGGCTGGGATGTGCTGTGTGTAGGTACATTACTAGTCAGCGTGTTCCAGGTGGTATTTCGTCCATTGACCTATTCCATCACAATTTAAAAAACACTCTTAGGTCCCCCCGAAGGTTATAAATCCTTTATTTATTTATATGCCTGTATATATTTATATGCCTTCTAGTGTATAGCACAGAGGCTTTGTTTGAGGACGCTGTGCAGGGGGCGGTGCACAGGAGGACATCTCAGCATCCTGGTGCTGGACCCTGAGCCAGTGACATCCTCTCGAAGGCTCTCCTGGGTTCAGCGGGTTTTAGCTCAGGACTCGAGAGATGCTCCTGAGACAGGAGGTTTAGCACGGGTTTGCCAGCAGTGGACACATCTGGGGTCAGGCAGACCGAGGAGGGAAGGAACCTCAGGAGGGTGGTGTGCACGCAAGATGCCAGGTGTTACCTCCACATGTCGTACAGATGTGCTTTTTTTGGGTGGTACAGAGGAAGCAAGGAGCTGGGGAAAATGGGTGACTCCTTCCTGGGGCCGCTCCAGCCCGGGTGATGTGCTCTGCAGCTTGCAGCCCCCACCTTCTGCTCAAGCTGGAGCTTCTTCCGTGAGATGCCAGTGGACCCTGCCCACGGAGAGCACATTACAGCTGTCTAGACATCAGCCACACTCCATCCCGCCAGAGATTTCATTTGTGGTAGAAGTGGGCTCTGTTCCCCGAGGAGGTGTAATATGTGTGGAAAATATTATTATAGCAGAATAGCCTCCTTTAATTGACTCTAAATTTTGCAGGATTCCTTCCTAGGTTTGGGTAATCCTGCGCTCTCCAGAATTAATGGCTGACATAGCACTTCTTCGGGTCTTGGCAGCCTGACAGCTAATTTAGAACTCCCTAAACTCATTTCACTAATGACTCCCATTTGTTCTATCTCAAAGCCTGGAAACAAATGCAAAATACCAGTGCCATTGTCCCATCTTTAGCAAGTCATTCTTTCCCCTCAGTGTTTCTGGCACCTGAACAGCAAGCTGCCTTGGGAAACCTGATTAACCCTTTCCCTTCCTGGAATAGTTTAAATCAATTTCGATCTCTCTCCTGGGAAGATCAGGAGGAAAAACGAAACTCATTGTGGCTGGAAGGCTCAGAATTTACCCGAAGGAAAGGGGGGAGATGTAATCCAGGTAGCATTTGGGGTTTAGGAAATATAGCCGTATTTCCACATTTTTTCCACACGTACTTCCAAGCTGCTTTTCTTCCCAGGAACAGGTGCGTGCAAGGGGTTGTTTGCCGGTGCAGCTCAGCCCCAAATCCCTCATGAGCTGGGATTCACTTTGTAATTCATTCTGCCGAACCATCAGGATGGCTGTTTCCCATTTAACCAACGTATCGCTGCCTCCAGTCTCTTCCCATTACAGTTTTGACATGACGACAAGACAAATAAATTTTTTAAAAGACCTTTTATCTTCTAAACCATTTATTTTCACTTACTTAGCCCGGGGGCAGAGCTGACCTCAGCGTAAGGGATGATCATTCACCATGGCAGCTGTACAGTCATATGTGTCCTGGGGACCGGCCTGAGCCAGAGGAGCCTTCGCCGTCCAGCTGCTCTGTTGTGGCTCTGGGCTTTTCCTCCTTCTTGCCCAACAATCCCCAACAGCTTTCTTTTTTTTCTTTTTTTTTTTTTTTTTCCTCAAAATGTCACCCCTTTTCATCTGCAGTGGGGCAGTGCCGAAGTTGTCCCTGGAAAGCAGGCGAGGAGATGAGCTGAAGCTCGTGGCTTTGCTGACCCACACGTGGGGCAGGGGCTGGGTCCGAGGGTAGAGCTTGGGCTGTGGATGGGGCAGGAGGTGGGGATGGGCTCCCAGCTGGCTCTGGGCAGTGAGGGGCCTCGGCTGCCCTCACCTTCCTGGTGGCTCTGAAAGGTTCCATTTAAAATATGCTGGAAGCGTTTTATACAAACCATCTGTACATTGAAGACGTTTTTAGTTTTATATTCTGTGCCAGGGGAGGGAAAAGCCTTGCTTAGGCGGGATGAGAAGTTACGGAAGAAAAATCCAAGCCTTTTGTTTTTTGATTCATGGCAAACCTGTTTTGAACAATGAATTTGTTGTCAATGTCCTTTCCTTTTGATTTTGGAAGCTGTTGTCCTACCTCCTGCTTCAGCTTCACTCCTGAAGTCCAGCTCTCTCTGCATCAGTTCTTGTTTTGTACCTGCAGTAACAGCAGAACCTGGTGTTTATTTTTCCTCTGACACTGCAGTGATTTTGGATTTCCCTACTTCTGGATCTTGAGATAGTTTAAAGAACCTTGACTTTCACAGAAAAAAAAAAAAAAAAATCCCCTTTTAGCTCTGTGTCCAAACTTCAAGTCTCCATAACCACTGATCGGGGTTCAGAAAGCACAGGCCTGTCTGTCAGCAAATATTAGGACCCAGAAATAACGAGGAGAAGTAATTTAGAGGTCTGCTGATAATTTGTCATTTTAAATTTTTTTTTGTGGAGTGGAAAGTGAGCTACAAAGTGAAAAATCTTTATTTTCATGCAAGTCATAAAAGGGTTTTTGTTAACAGTTTGTGTGTATGTAATTCTGTGCTGTGATTTAAGTGTTCCCATTAGAAATGCAGAATAGGAAATAGGATCCCATCTGTGAGCAATTTAAGAGGAAGTGAGACAATGGAGTCGATTGCTGCTTCAGTTTAGATAATCAATATAAATATTATTAGTATAGTGATTTATCTTCTTAGACACTTTCTGAAAATGTGAATGCCAGACCCTGCAGACAGGTCAATATGATGCTATCTGTTCCTGCCTTGCTGTGTTTATGGTGTTTTCCCGTGAAGCTCAAGCAGCTGCTTTGCTGTATGTTCTTCCCTGGCTGTGATGAAATAACACACACACAATCCTAGAGCTTCCCTTTCTCCTGTGTGACTCTGGGAACGCACTGTGTGTATTAGTTGAATGATTACATTTATCTGAAATCTGTGCTGGTGGCTGTGGGGGGATAGTGGGAGCTGATCTTTAAGGTCCCTCCCAGCCCAACCCATTCTGTGATTCTGTGATGAAGTTCTGGAAGAAGTTTGCATAATTTTAAATGTATTTCTAGGCCATGAGCGATTCTGAGCACAAAGGCTGAGAGAGCTCCTTTGGGTTTATTGCAGTTTTTCTGTGTTGGAAGGAAAACATTGTCAGCAAATTCTCTTGTACGTTTTGCCTTTGGTGTACATCACCGTGCATGATGTCAGGTGGCCTACGGGGTTTTTTTTTTCTTTGAAAGAAATGTTTGGAGGAAATTAAAATTGTCAATAACCCTATTAAGAACATGCCTAATTAAAGGCAGGATGGGCAATGCAAAACTTGATGTGTAAAGGGCACAGTTCTACTTGACGATGGCATGGAACCTCGCTTGAGTTGCTGTTTGAGGTTCCTGAAGTCAGCAGCTTGTTTTGCTGGAGATTCAGTGGTGGTGGTGGTGGCATTGGCCACATCACTCCCCTGGAGCATCTCCCGCTGCGCTTTGCCAAGGCTGGGTGGTGGGACACTGAGGTTGGACCCTCCAGACAGTGGAGACAGAAGGACCTCTGTTCCTCGTGCATAACCGAGTTGCACGAATTTCATCCTCTCAGTGTCCTTGTGTGTCCCTTCCTCGTCCCAGGGCAGGGGCTGCAGCGTTCCCTGCCCTCGTGGTGTGCCAGCGGGGTGAAAGCTTTGCCAGTGGAGAGACGCTAAAGAGATGGTGGTAACGGAGACCACATCGGTGGCCTCGTTAGAAGTAATTATTTGGTGGGTTTAGATGCTGCGAGACCATTCCTGTTTTCAGGTTGGGCTTTCCTCAAGAAAGGTGTTACATTTATGGAAAAATAAGGCACTTCAGTCGCTCGGATTTCACCTCAGCTCTTTTAAAAACCAGATAGTCAGGAATTTCCGCAGCTGCGAGGTGGAGCACAGCAAACATTAACAACGCCAGTCGCATTGCGTGGCCGTCTGGAAGAGCAGGGAAGCACCCAGGCCCCTCCAAAACTGCACCGAGTGGAAAGGTGAAAAATAATGAAGCTGCGAAGAGGAGAAATTGCTGATGCGTGAACGCCTGGAAATCTGTAAGAGTCCAAAAAGGGAGACGAAAATACCCCCCAAAAATGACTATCTGTGGCTTGAACGAAATAGTGTCCGATCAGCATTCAGAAACCGCTGAATTCAGGCCGTTCCAATACTGGCATTTTCCAGAGTGCCTGCCAGTCAGATGCAGAGGAGAACACGTGTAGAGTGTCTGCGGTCTCAGCGCTCGCAAGAAGGGGAAGGCGAGCTGGAAGTGAAGGGAGTGAGAAGGCCCAGTAAAAAGATCTCCTGTTTTTTCTTACAGTGAGGAAGAGCCGGCGTTTTGGGGTTGGAGGGAGATGGTGGTGTGGCTCTGTGAGCATCCCTGTTGATGAGCTGTGTGTGCCAGCAAGAAATAGCACACACTTTGGACTTTGGTCCCTGAAAAATTATCAGTATTTTCTGAATGCCCATAACAGACAATTCATGCTTTTATGGTGATGTAGGAGCTGAGACCTTCTCAGTGTCTCCTGAGCCTCGTGTCCCTAACTTCTGCTGTAGTTGCTTTACTGATGCTGCCTGGAGTGGCTGTGCTTGAAGAATGACTGAGTAGTGCTCAGATTTCTTTTGCCCTCATGTCTCCTGGCTGAAATGTGTGCCTCAGAGGTCTTCTCCTCCTCCGCCTTTGCAGCTGCCAAAAAGGGTGCCTTTCTTCCCAAAGCAGTAAGAAAAAAATCCTGCCATCTGCCGTGACCCTGCCACCTTCTAGCTGCGACGTGTTCTGGGTCTTCTCCAACAGCTGGATGGCAGCTGTGCTGGCTGGAAGGATCTGGCCCCAGGTCGCCCTGTGGAGAGGAGCCCTTGTTCTCTGGTGTTGCTCAGCCGTTTCTGGACCTCACCCAAAAGGTGGGCTGGTGGGACAGAGAAGAAATGGATGTTGTGCCTGAGTGG